TAAAAAAATTTAAAAAAATATCAAGTGACGTCAAATGTTCACTTTGTCTGGTTTTGTTGCAGCACGCCCCATATAATCTCTGATTGGTGAATACATTAGTTCTGGCATTGCTTACTATTAGGATTAGGATGAAGGACAAAAACGATTGAACTTGGAAAGGTTAATATATATGTATATATATGATATTTATTCCTTCCACGGTACCAACTAACCAAATATACAACTCGATCCACTTTTCAGCCCTTCTTGCATTTTCACCATTACTAAGTGCAGCTAAATCCGCCAAGTTTATTCTGATCTACATACTCGCGGCATGTCACCATGCCCTCAAACATCCTTCAATACGCAACAAGAAATCGTCGGTTCGCCAGTTAGTGCTCATCGACGTCGACGGGTTACCCACCGACTCAGTTTCACAAGATTCGGAATCAACATCCATGTTATTCTCTGTTTGATCGGAACCATCCGCGGCTTCTTTGTTTCTGGTGTTAAGCCATGGCATGCGTTTGCCCAACGATCTAATAAGCTTTTCTAGTTTAGTTTCACCCGTTTCAGGCCGCCAACATTCACTGAATTTAACACGTTCAGCGGATAGGCGATATTCATCAACAAGTTTAAGCTGGAATATATAGGAAATGTACAAATATAAAATTATAAAGATCAGCAAATTTAAGAGTCGGTCCAGCAAAATAAACATTGAACGTACCAGTTCATCAGCGGCGGCTTTGGGAAATTGAGTATCATTTGCAACACCATATGCAAGCTTCTTAGGCTGTCCAAGATCTTCGAGCGAATTACTCACATAAAACCAATTAATGGCTGATGTTGCACCTGGAAGACATTTATCATATGGTCCTAAATAACAATTAACCAACGACTTGTTAACGCTTGCATATATGCCCTTTGCAACATCCTTACATCTCACCACGCACCAATAATAGCTCCAACGAACGGCTCTTCATTTAATGCCTCATCCCTAAACAACTGTTGGTAGTTCTGTTGATTTTGAAGATCGAGTATCGATGGATCAGGCGCAAACGTAGGATGGGAATGATACCATCCAACAACGCGCATGTTGCGATCTACAATGCGCTGACGGATTTCACATTCTGAAGTTGGATCCATTTCAACGTTTGTGCGATTTTCACCGGTATTTAGCGAGCGACAGGGGTATGTGGCCTTTACTATTAATTCTGAAAATGAAAAAAAAAAGAGATTGGGGAGGGGTATGGATCATATAACGTGGAAGAAGATGTAATGTGAGAAGATTGCCGTGATTGATGAAACTTGCATAATTCACACGATCGATGATGAGTAAAATCGCGTACTCCTTTCTTCGGATAGCCAATTGCCAGCAAGGAAACCAATGATTTCTGTTTGCATAAGATGTGCATGGAAATCCATGGCCAGCATGACATTGGATTCGACAATTATCGAAAATGGCTGACATCCAGAAACGTTGGAATTTGGTGCTCCAATGAATGGTGTGCATTTGACCAACGTATGAGGATCACTAAAAGCGAGAGTACAAGAGTAGTAACAAATTATACAAAATATCGACGGCGCTTTACACATATATCCAATATATTTGATTGCTACAATATCTCCCATGCGGCTGATCGGCAGTAAGCGAATAATTCGAATAACCGTAAAAATATTCCAGAATAATAAATACTTACGCATGACTCTCAAACTTTGAAGTATTAGCATGTACACGTTCTTTACTGCTGCGTAGTTTATTCTTCGCATACTCAGTACGCCCATCAGCACCATATGAAAACTCTGGGCCGCCATCATCGGATTTATTAGATTTGATGACTTTTTGTCTTTTGGGAGGTCTTGGCTCTTTGGGTTCCTTTGGCGGCTTGGGCTCTTTCGGCGGTTTGGGTTCTTTTAGCTCCTTTCGTCTATAAAGAGAAATTTTTTCTTGGGGCTTTAATCTAAAAATTGAAGGCTATGTTCAAATTAAGTCTTCCGTGCATTTTATACCTTTTAAAGCCCGTGTTTTTTGCAAAGGGGACAGGACTACTCCTGGGCGACGTACTCGGACTATCCACTTCGATATTTAAACCTTTTCGTGTCTGAGCGTTCACCGACATTATCGAATCTCCTTGCGACGGTAGTTTACTGTGAGAAACGCGACTGAGATAAGGTCTGGCAGCGGCAGAATCGGGATCCAGTGTTTTGCCAGATAATGTATAACCAGCTCCTGATTCTTGTACCTTGTGAATGCATGAGAGGTGAGAATATGAGACTGTTGCCAGGAAGGAGATGTTTAAATGACGAATGTGCGCTCATGTAATGTCGGATAAAACATAATAGATTATTATATCGAATATTAATGTAAAATTTCTTTGCAGAGGCAAATCATTAAGCTTACTTTCTTTGGTAGAGGTAGCCCATCGCGATAAAGTTTGATAAAGTACTTTTGAGCGTGACTTCGGATCGAATTGGCGTCTCTTGTCGCGATATGTTCAGCGAGCTATGTCGAAATAACACGTGTCAGTATAGTCAGGCACTTTAGAAACAAAAAAGACGCGTTGCATCCGTGTCAACCGACTCTCCTTTTAAATTCTTAGTCCCCCCTTTTTTATTCACCTTTATTTTCTTGTTTTGCCGTTCTAATTACAACCATCTTACTAATATTTCCAATCTCTCACCAACCATCTTTCTCCTCTGCATCCTCACCCCAATCCACACCGTTTCCATGGGGACGGTCACTGACCTTCTTCCAATCGCGTCCGTAAAACTCGAGCCCCTCTAAAAACCTCTTCTCCTCTTCCCCTGTGTACGTGCCACTGTTGAATCCGGCTTGTAATTTTTTTGGTGTTTTCACTTTCTTTGGACCCGTACGATCAACATACGCGGTGGTCGTTACACTGTCATAAGTTACAGTGTGTTGGTTATCCTGATCACAATTCTCTCCTGAACCATTATCGGTCAGATTCTTGTCGGATGAGTTTCTAGAATTAACGCCTTCCGTTTGCGAAGGCGTTAAAGGCATTTGTGTGGATGCCGGCGGCAGTATTTGTTTGGATTCAGGAAACGATTCTGTGTCATTAAATTCTGTTGGCGATGTTGGATGGTTAACGGTTGCAGAATCTTTTGCAGATTTTGATGTCTTGGCGAGTTCTGCAGATTTGAGATCCTTTAATTCGTTTGTCGTTGACTCGGGTAATTTTGATTCTTGGTTGACTCTGACCGAAGCGTCAGGAGAAGATTGACCAAGAGACGAGCGTTCCGCTTTGAACGGCTTTTGTTTTTGAGGACGTTTTTTTGCTTTTTATTTTTAACATTTGGGAGATGTTTGTAGATTAAATAAGGAATGGATGGTTTAATTTACGTGTTGTTAGACGAGTATCCTGCCAATTCATCGAGTTGTCTGGTATTATCCGTCCACATTCTCCGCAATACATCTCACCTTAATATACATTCATCACGTACCTTGCTTCTTAGTTTTCCCTCTGGCTGTGGGATCATAGTCGTCGTCTGTATCCATATGGTCAGATTCGAAGAACTGTTCATATGTATTACTGCCATACTCGCTATAATATGGGTGGTCGTCGCCCAGTTCATCTTGTGCGAGTAATTTAGCTATTAACGCCGATGACATTTCCTCCTCCTGTTCTTTTGTCAGAGCCTGTGAATCGATCGGTGCTTTTGTTAATGTGTTTGATTCTGCTTGCTTGTTTCTGCGGACCATTGCGAATAGAATGAAAAGGGAAGAGAATAACTCGTTAAAAGATTGGGATGAAAGTCGAAATTGGTCGATTTAATCAGGGGTATGGTTGATGATGATAATGTTGGAGTGATGTCATGTTTGTTCGTAATTTATGTGAAGATTGGGAAATGAATAAATTACAATCTGATAATAACAATGACTGATATAGTGGTTGTATTATGTTAGATGACGCGTCTGATTATGTCGCGCTCTCGCATAGACCATGGACCTAGAATATATGTACACATGTAACACTGATCGGGCTAATTCTATTAACCACGTGTATCAAAAATTAAAGTTATTGTGAAGTTGTAGTATGAGTCTATTGCGCAATATCGTTAGAACCGTTTTTTGGCTGTAATATCAATCATACATGTATGTTTATGCATATAATTATTTGCCTGATCGGAATATTAAACAACGACATTATTGCAATGATACAACCTTATTGCACGTATTGCATATGTTATGCTACTGTCAAAGAAAGCAAAGAAGCCATCACTTATTCATGGTTACAATGACAGTGTAACTAACTAGCATTGATTGGAAGTGGGTTGTGCGAGTAAATTGTGTATGAAGTGGTGAGCGCGGAACTGTCTAGTGTCATCGTGTATGTAGAGTGTACAACAGGTATTAGCTTGCTGTAGAATTCGAGATTTATTGTGACTCTACGACATAATATCTCCTGTTAAATACAATATCTGTAATGGTTAATCCAAAGTTTAGTAGTTAGACACCATTGACATGTTATATTTATTATTTAATTAAAATATTGATTATATCTTGTTGTCGCAAAAACAGTCGCAAAGTCTCAACGCACAATAGGAATTCATCACTGTCATCTATTAACCTTCATCAACGTCTTCTTAATTATAATGGGTTGGTTATCATCCAGAATATCATACAAGTATCCTCTTCAGCAATAATAATAAATGACGTTCATTGATGAAACCTACTCATGTTGGATTATCTGATATTAATATCGGGGCAAATGATAATTTAATTGGTCAATACAAATATTTATCACGTGTTGCGCTTAGGAGTCTTACACTGTGCAGAAACTATCCATTTAGTAGCATGATATGTGGTTATGAAAAATGATCCGACAATACGTTAACGGTGATCATAATCGTTTGATTAAAAGCGTTGCTGCCACAGACGAGAGGTTCTTATCCACTCATATTAGAATGATATGATGGGTGGGGATGAAGAGGCGTCTAAAGATGGAATATTTAAAGTCGAGTTTGGTGATGCGTCCAGTTCGGCTAGTATGATGATGTCCCGTGACGGATGCACGATGTATGCTTGGTAGCTTTTATGAATATGTTGTAGAAAGGTTCATTAACCGCTCCATGGCGTTCGAAGGGAACACCGGACAAAGGACTATAACGGGCATTCCAATGGTATGATAAGTCGGCAAATCGCGGGAATTCTAGGTGACAATATTATCTTGCGAATTGTTATAGGTGGAGGTGGAGGCGGACATTGAGAAATGATAGAGTTGTTGCTGATGGTCGTTAACCAAAGCCATAAAAAGGCGAGAGCAGATTTAGAGTGGGACACGATCCTGAAATCATCTGAGACAGGATTATTTACAAGTTGTGCAGAGAATTCAACCGTTTAACAAGATTATAAATTTATAAAACTAAAAAAGTAATGGTTTAAGATAAGTTTAATAATCAGGCTAATAAAATTCCTAATAGTGAGCACATGTAAGTTATAGACAGGCAAGCGGATCTTATAACAAACCAGAAGATATGAAGATTTTGTAATATAGATGGTGTGTTATGTTTTAGTAATGAATGTAAAGATCTCAAAAAAGACATCAATAAATTGTAAATACTGTGATTGATTGTCATGCACGCATTTATTGACGGCGTGATTTACAAGAGGCATCGGATGGGACTAATACGACGATATAATGGTAGCGTTAGACAAAGGGAAGGCCAAAGAAGCGTGTAAGATGCTTATTTTCGCTCTTGACGTTGAATCTCGGACTCTCTAAAACGCACACAGCTACAATGCGCACGACTCCGAATGAACACGCGATATGCTGGACAGGCGATTTTAATCGAATAACCGCTTATGCGAAAGTTTCAATGCAGTACTTCTCAAACATTGTACAACTGGTGCTTTCCACAAATATCGAACAATGCATTATAGAGTTTTGGGTTAGACACAAACATTCGCGCACATCGAACAAAGGACAGGCTGAAAGTGCAACAAAAGTCAGTCAAACGTCTTGCGATGAAACGTGGTGTTGCTAATGGTGCGTCTTCGACCACAGATTTCTGCTGGTTCTCCTGAACGTATAGTAACCTGAACCTATTACGCGCTGCACTCAGAGTGAATAACGAGCTTACTTGAAATCCTAAAATCAAACCATTGCTTAACAAAATAAAGAACACTGACATCATTCATTAGCTTGTTCTCGTATATTTGCATAGATTACCTTCGATTCAACGCAAGTCAGTAAGTCCATTTCATCACTGATAGCAAAGATAGGTTGAATTCTTCATCTTATCATTCTTCGCAGACGCACGTTCCAACTCGTTAGCTGCCGCTTACGCAAGTAATAAACTATATCTACCAAAGTGCCGTCTTATTTGTGATTCATAGAAAAGAGTAGCAACACAACATACAATGGAATTATAGCACAACTGTAAAAACTCACCTTATCACATTTAAAATGCGCCAAGGCCATTGCTAAGGCTTCTGGAGATGAGTATACAGTAGTTGACATACACTCAGTGGAAAAAAGTCACCGGACACTTTGTATATTTAAACATTAATGCAAAATGTGAATATTTTTTAAT